ACAATCCTTATTTTGATGTTTCTCAAAACTTAGTCTTGTGACAAAGTTGAGAAAATATAATTACAAAAAATGTGTGAAGTGTAGAGATATTCTTTGAAGAGATGATGGGAAGACAAAGGCAGTAACTGACCCATACTGGGATGGGGTAGAAGGTGGGCAACAGCTACAGAAGGCTTCCTGGAGGAGATGATGCCTGAGGTGGGTCCTAGAGATGAATAGTTATTAGCAGGAAAAGAGGGAGGGGAAAGGGTGAGTGAAAGCTAGTGTGAAGGCTTGTGGCATTTTTCCCCACTTGGTGAAAGTTAAATTCCCAAACAATAATAATATTCAGGCTTTACTATGCCCATGACATTTTACTAAGTACTTACCAGGAATTATATTACTGCACCTTCACAATAACCACCTGGAAATGGGGCTATTTTTATTCTGTTTTGCTTATGAAAAAACTGAGGCACAGTTCAATAATTTGCCTACAATCACACCAGTGGGGTGTGGCAAAACCAGGACTTCAGACTATCAGACTTCAGAGTTTTTTCAGTTTTGATTATATCTGTAATGTGGCTCTTGTAGCCCTGGGTACCACCACACAATGTCCATACCCGTCCATGACAGGTCAGATTAAATGCATGCTTCACAGAGGCCAGAAATCTGCTCTTAGAGTAGAACTATCTAGCAGCCGAATGGCCTGCCTGCTCCTGAGTCAGCTCAACACTACCTGAATTCTCTTTGGAACCTGGCACCTTGTTCCCAGCCCTATGTGAGCTCAGTGTGCTCTCAGAACCCATGAATTCCCTGTAGACTCTGACTGCCTTCACTTAGTTCCACTACAGTCTCCCTCCTCCCATCATAGCAGAAGTGCAAGCCTGTCTTTGTTAGAATTTTCTTGATCCCTATTCCACTTTCCTTCCATTACTGATCTTCTGCATGTGCCAGGCTCTGCTGAGGACCTTGTGAAGCTAGCTTTGCCCACCAAGACTCGTAAGACACGTTTTTACAGTTGTCAAAAAATGTACCAGGCCATGTTCTGAAAGATAAATGATGAACTTGGAGAATTGCACATGGTCTCGCTTGGAGGAGTTTCAACCAAAGATGAAATTCTGTGGTTCAGAACCATACTGGCAAAGTAGCAGACTCACTCCAGTGCATCTGAAAGAAATGAGCTAGTAACTAGTAGTGGTTCTCTAGAGACTTTACCCTGGTTCCAGGAAGTAAATATTTTGAAATTGAATTTGTAACAATGGTTTCCATCTTCAAATATAGCATCATAACTCTGTTGGGTTTAAAAAAACAAAAAACAAAAAACCATTTTTGCAAACATTCAAATCACCTCTGTAATCTAAATTATATGGAGTTTTTCTATACCCAAATTACAGAAGGTGACACCTCTATTTGTCTGAAAAACTCTTTAAGATCAAGAAGTAAGTTTATGTGGAAAGCAAATAGATGTTTTCTATTTGTGCTGAGGTCAGGATAAGAGAACATATGAGAACATGGAACTCATTACCAGCATAGATACTCCACCTCTGACTTTATTTGAAGAAATGGATAGAGCACTGTCCTCCTGGGGTTGCCTGGGGTAGGGCAGGGCTTGCCAGACTTCTGGTGCTCTAACAGCCTGGCCTGGGCTTGCCTGATCTCCTGTCATGAGCTCCACCCTCCTAAATTAATAGATCATATTTTTACTGTGTGTTTCTCATTCATCATCTCACTTTTGCCTCATACAAATCTTCCTTCTACTGTTGAGGAAACTGGCTTCAGTGAGGTTAGAGTTTTTATACAGTTTATTGGTATTAAAGAACGAGCTAAAATCCAGGTATCCCATCTCATACTAAGTGATATATGAATATGAAAAATGTCACAGGTATAGAAAACATCTTTGCTGAAAAAAAAGGATATTTTGAGAATTTAAGAAGAGCTCTTTCGGACTTTGAAGTTTTCTTAGGGTGTTTAGGTATATTATTCTGATTATTTTCCTTTCAAACTTACTCAGTTAACTGAGTATTTATCTAGTGTTTACCATATTACACACTGGAATACAATGGAAAGCAAGTCCCTCCCAGGGCTCACTATCCTTTATTTTTTTAACATCCTTTTCTCTTGCTGTCCACCCCTAAACTCTGCTCTCAGCCCTGACCAGCTACAGATTCTAGGTAGATCCTTGGTAAGTACTGTAAATGTTGACACAATTTAAAAAGGGAGAAGAGCCTTCCCTGCAGGGGGCTTCACATCCTCTGAGCCTTTGGAAATCTATCTTCTTTGGAATGGCTTATGAAACCCAAACAACCAGAAACCACTTACAAATCTATTCTCCTGAGGTCTCCACAGATTTATAAAAATAATCTGGTGCTCTGGAGAACTCTTGCATATTAAAACCAAAAGCCTAATTATGTTAATCAATGTTCCTTAAATTTCAGGTCCCCATTTGTCACATGAGGACATGATATACAGAAAATCATTAGAAAGGTATAAAGGACCATGTAAATAAAGGTACCAATGTGATGATCAGTAAAGCTAATAAAATGCCACAGTATAAAGAGTACCAGGTACTAAAGTAAAATATAATAAATTTTATCATATTTAAATATGATAAAATATCATAAATATATGATATCAAGTAATGAAACCTCAGCTGAATAAGTCCTAAAGAATGTTCACTTAGCCATGTATGCAGAATAACTAAAAGAAGAAATGTCACCAAAGTGGTAGCTTATGTTTAACTTCATTCTTTTTTATAAGAAACTAGTTCCCCAAAATGTAAATTAAAACTTTATATAAAGAAATAAATGAAATATAAGACTTTAAAAATCATCTTCTATTAAATTGGAAAAATAACTAAGACATTAATTCCACTGGTACAGGAGAGACAGTGAGACAGAGAGACAGAGAGACAGTGTTTTGAAAAATGCCTCAGACACTGCTGGTAGAGATGTAAGTTAGTGCAGCATTTTGGGGACAATTAATGATTTTTAAGAGTCTTTAAATTGTGTATGCACATCCATTCCAGTTCTAAGAATTTATACTTGAGAAATACAGATGTGAATAAAAAGGTAGCTAGGAGATGTTCATCATGGTGTTACTTAAAATAGTGCTTAAAGTACAGAAATTAAGAATATAGTACCTGATATCACTGAGCTGCTAGATTCAAACCCTGATTTTGTTATTTCTTACTGAGATTCTAGACATATTGCTTTTTAACTTCCACATTTGCAAAATAAAGCTGATAATAACAGAACCTGTTTCATGAGGTGGCTATGATTATTTAACAAAATACATTTAAGGCACCTAGGGCATACTAGAAAGTGCTCATGGTGTTAGGTTATGTTCATTATAATAAACAATTACAAAAATCTACATATCTAATAAATTGTTTCCTCCTAGCAATATAGTGCTATATACCAATTAAAATGATACTGTAGGTGAATATTTGACTTAGAAAGATAATTATTATGTTAAAGGGGAAAAGAAGGCTATAAAATAGTATTTACTATGTGACTGAATCCAAACAGATGTTTATTAGACATTATCTAGTCTACCTGAATTTGTTTTGAATTTAAATGCATTTATGGCTCTAAAAATGTAGTTGTGTTTCACAAGGGCAAAAATCAAATAGTGCTAATTTCAGTTCCTTTACCTTCTGAGGAATAATAAGATTTTTTTCTGGGCTAATATCCTTTTGGTACTTAGTGTGCTGCAATCCAAATGACTTCTAATAATAAAGTAGAAGCACTTCTTTTACTAACTGGTGAAGTCCTCCATGCCATAACAAAGTCCCAAGATACTATCTAGTGTCATAATACTATTAGAGTAATTATATACATAATTTACCAAGTCAAGAAATACTACAGCTACCAGCATTCAAGTTGCTATAACAATTTTTAAAAGCTTGAACTATGATTCTAATAATGTTTATTATGAGATACTTATAACAGATATCATTTACAATAATGTGGGATTTTAAGAATGACATTTGCATAATATAAATACTGCTAAATATGAATGTTCTCTTGTCCAACAAACAAGATTCACTTAAGGGTACTTAAGTGAATATAGTTTATATTGTTTATAGTATAGCTTCTTTGTATAATCATAATTTCTATTTGATTCATATCTGATGAATCATAATTCATAATTCATTCATTCACTTAAGTACAGGGTCTTAAGTGAATGTAGTGAATATATCACTTAAGTGATATAGTGTGACTTCAGTTTCAATGTCTGAATTTGTGATTCAATTGATTTACATACCAAAAAGGTATCCTTACTCTCTCACGGATTATGAATCTCTGAATCCCTAAGAGATACTATTTGTTACTCAGCTCTTTGCTAACTCAATGATAAAAAGTCTTCCTCCAATCCTCACAAAAGTTGTTTGATCACCCCCCAATTCAAGCAAAAAAGTACTGTGCCTACACGTGTACTCTATTACTAACATGGAAACTCTTCAGTTCTTTGTTGATGTTACAAAATTAGGACCTCTGACTTCCACCAATAGAAATGAAAACATAGGCATATGCTTGTATCATATAGAATTTTTTAGTACTTTCAAATCTATCTCATTTCGTTAACTTTATATGCAGGATATATAAATCTCATTCACTTTGACAACTTTGAGCCTCTTTGTTATGGAAGTTCTACTTCCACTTTGGGCATTCATCTTCGGAAACAAAAAGTGTAGTGATGTGGTTTATAAAAACTCTCTGAACAGTTAGAGGGTGGTGAGCACAGGAAAATGACAAGAGAGGAGAACTAACACTCACAATCAAGCACCTCCCAAGCTAAATGATGCCAATTATATCCAGCTGGGAAATGCTATAAGCTGCTAACAGTGCAGAGCTTGGCTAGACTACAAGAGCTTTCCTCGACATCTGGTAGAGGTAAAGCTGACCTCACTACTTCGTGCCTGGGACAGGTAGACAAAAACCCAAGGAGATTAGCATCAATCTCACAAGATCAGATAGAGTGACTATTGGCTACGTTCTTTGTTTTTGGAAAAAAAAAATTCTAACTGGAGTAGCAGGTTTCAACAAAACAAAACAAAAGCCTTTTTTCTTCCTTTCTCCTGTAGTGAAACTTAGGCTTATTGCCTCTGGTTTGAGGCAGATAGTGAGTTCCTTACACCCACATGATTGCTTTCTGGTTGCATTTATGATTACTAGAATAGAATTACAAATACTCCACTATTACTTCCAGTCCTCAGCCAGATGTGAATCTGCTAAGTTAAACAAAGACTTAAACTTAAGATTCTTAAGATTTTTTCCCCATTACCTTTTTCCCCCTTACTGGTCTATGAAAAACAAGAAGTGAGTACTGATTAAGTTCTTTAAATCCAAAAATTAGTGAGGGTGGCACCACTTACTTTTGTAATTCCAAGACAAGCGTCCACGGCTACATATGATAAAGTCCTGGGGTTTAGATTTCAGCTCTCAGAATCACAATCCCTAAAGAGTGTTCACTAGGAAGAAAAAGTAAAGAGTCTGCTCTAGAAACATTGCTCATAAACTCCAAATACTTTTAGTTCTCCTTTTTCACCCCTGAAGAATATATTCTCATGGCCCATATTTCTTTTCTGACTTGGGATACGCAAAAAGGTAGTTTTGAAAAGTGCTCTTTTCTTTCACATTAATTTTATTAGCTAGTTTGAAAGGGATAATTTGCCAAATTAGATGTTTTCATGTGTTCTTTTGTTAAGTGCAATCATCTACAAATAAGTTTCCTATTAAAATATACTCAAAACACAGCTCAAAACAAAATGACTTTCTAAAATTAAGAGTTGTGATATTTGAGACTAACGTCAACTTAATGCTGAAAACACACACACAAAAGGACAGACTGGTTGAAACTTTCACAAGAATGGAAAATGTTTAATAAACTTAGAGTGGTGGGCTTATTAAACTATAGTGTTATTTACAGCCATAATTCATCAACCACAAACACAATAATGTGTTTGCATGGCATGCTACAACAAAAGCTTTATTCAATTCATTCAGAAAACATTGGCAAAATAAACTTCAGTTGCGAATTCACAGATACAAGCTTCAAAGTATAAAGTTGTATATAACAAAAAATACAGGTAGTATTTATAACAATAACTTACAGATACAAACTAATGATAAACTACGATTTCACAAAGGATTGTAAACATTTTGCACACTTGTCAGTCCTTTCTTTTAGGCAAAGTGCTCTTTTGATGACAAATAAATTAACAGATACACACTAGTGTGAACTATTTCCAGACAATACAAAAAAAAGTTCTGATTTATTTTCTTCTTGTAAACATAAATTTTACAAAAAAATGAAGACTCAATAAAAGTGTCTTGCAGGCCAACTATAGATACATACCTGGTTAGCAAAGTGATGTTGAAAATGCTTTGAGTGTTAAATAAAAAATTAACATTAATATCTTTTCAATGGTATTTTATACATAATAAATGACAAGATTATATCCTTAATCATTTCTATCCCTGAAAAAAGGAATTAGGTATGACTTATTGGCAGTTGTGTCATTGAATGGGGTAACAAGGGCTGGAGTCCAAGAGTTGTTGGTGAATGAGCTATAAAATAGAAAGAAATTTGTGGATCAGTTTTGTAGAGTGAATAAAACTGATTTAAAAACAAACAAAAACAATCCAAGGCAATGTGATTTCATTACTCATTATAGCTGAGGGCACCAAGCTACACTCATTCCACTAACCTCAGCAGAAACATTAACTTATTCAGCATAGTGAGTACAGTATTAAATGAGAATCCAGGAATAGTTTACCCCCAAAACCTTTTTTGGGGCCACAAGCTTTTGACACTTTAATGTCCTCCATCCATACCCCATTCACTGCACTTTACCCTGCAGTTAGAAAACACAAAAGCTTTGTCTGCAGAGATGCTGCTGGCTTCCATATAAAAATGTCTATAGGATGAACCCCCCCAATTTTCCTTTATGAATGCTTAACCACCTCTTCCCCAAACATACATCAAAGCGCATTTGACTCGGGCAACACTATAGTCATTCACGTGAACACACACAATTTTAATGCTAGTATAATAGCAACAATGGTATAGGTTCTGGTTTTTTATTTAACCAAAACTTTAAATGAAGTTTCCATTCTCTGCAAGGTCTATGACACTTCAAACCTCCCTCTGAGAGCAACTAGGAAGCTGGCCAAAATTTTAAAAAATCTGTTGGAAGGCATCTGAAAGATACCAAGATAATGAAAAATTGCAAAGCAAGTCTCAAAAGAGAAGGGAAATAAAAAGAGGCAAATTTCCACCACCCACCCCCCAAATTTAGTGACAATTTTAAAAGAAAAGGGATGTCTGAGAGGCTGAGAATTTGAGCAGACTCTCAGGAGTTAGACTTTGGCTGGGTGATGGGGAACAAACACGAAAGATCAGGGACCACTGAAGAGAAGGACCGGTTTAAAACAACAGGAACAAAACACAACAAAATGAAAGCTTTGTCTGGGATCCCCAAAGGCTAAATCCAATTAGTGACCCAGAAATATACCAGCCTTCATGAAGACTGATGCTCATTGGATTAAGCTGATTTTACCCTAACCTAAATTCCTGCCAGAGGCAAAAACAAATCCTCTCTGGTGGAGGATCAGTCCAAATTTGAATCCAAAGCTTCAAATTATTTCTAGTTTTTCATACCCAATCCAACATCTGAAGTGCAATAAAAAAAATAAAAAGGTAAAGAAGAAGACATGACTTGACTGAAAAGCAAGAGATCCAGATATTGGAGTTATTAGACATAAACTTTAATATAACTAATAAATATAACAATAATTTTATTAAGGAATAAAGTGGCAAAAATAGAAGATTTCAATAAAAAATAAAAAAGTGAAAACTATGTAAAAGAATGAAATGGAAGTTCTAACACTGAAGACACAATAACTGAAATTAAGAACTTAGTGGGTGAGTTTTATACCATATTAGATAGAGACTTAGTGATCTGGAGATAGGTCAGAAGAAAATACCTAGACGAAAGCATGGAAGGTCAAAAACTGGAAAATACGGAATTTTTTCATAAAGAGCAGAAACAATATTTGAAGAGACAAAAACAGACGTTTCTATAATACATCAAACATACTCAAGAAGCATATCATTATAATAAAACTGAAGACCAAACACAAAGAGAAAACCTGGGATAAAACAAGATTTACTTTCAAAAGAGCAAGAATAAGATCATATTTTCAATATGAAAATATATAGTCCAATAAAATAAAGTGTACAGAAATTAACAGCTACATTACATGAACAGTTGATTTATGAGAAATGTGTCACTACAAAACAGTTGGGAAATTGGTATTTTTATCAATATAACAAAAGAGTTTTACTTCCTGTCTCATACTACACATAAAAATTCAATTCCAGATGGAGTATAAATCTAAATGTCAAAGGTAAGATAAGTGTCAAGAAGATAACATTAGAGGAATATGTTCACTATCTTTGAGGAGAACCAATTTCTTGAATAGGTTACAAAGAAAGCACTGTCCATGAAGGAAAAAAAAAAAAAACTGATGAAATGAACTATATTAAAATTAGGAACTTGTGCTCAACAAAACATACCCTTAAGAGAGTAGAAAAAGGCAAGCCAATGAATAGGAGGGGATGCCATCAAAAAGCTTTTCTATATGCAAAATATAGTGAGAACTAAGAAATCAAGGAAAAAACAAAATGGACAAGCCAATAAACCAACAGGCAAAAGACATGAAAAGGCTCCACACACACACACACACACACACACACACACACACACACACACACAGGGTTTACAAATGCCCAGTGGAAACGTGCTCAATCTCATCAATCATGAGGGAAAAGCAAATTAAAATAATGAGCACTACCCCACCATCAACTTGGTTAAAATTAAGGAGTCACACCGTACCAAGTATTGGCAAGGATGTGGAACACCTTGAACTCTCACACAGTGCTGGTCCAAGTGTAAACTGGGTCAGCCACTATGGGAAACTGGCAGAATCAACTGAAGTTGAGTGTATGGGTAGCCTATTACCCTAAGTTCCACACCCAGGTACATACCAAACAGAAGTGTGAATTAATGTTACACCAAAAGGCATGTACAATGAAGTCCATAGCAGCATAGTCATAAAAGCCTAAACATGCTCAATCACAAATGTTATCCACCATAAAATGGTTAAATTGTGGTATATTCCCACAGTGGAATTCTATAGAACAATAAAACAAATCACGGATTCTTGCAACAAATACAAGTGAATCTCACAAACAATGTAGTTGAAAGAAGTGAGATACACAAGAATACATTCTATACGGTTCAGTTTATATAAAGCTCAAAAACAGGCAAAACTAAAACATTATTTTAGAAGTCAAGGCAATGATACTCTGGAGGAAGAGAATAATAATTGGAAGGGGGCATAAGAGAGGTTTCTGGGTGTTAATTATGCTTTACTACTTCATCTGGTATTTACATGGATATGTTCACTTTAATAATTCATCCAGCTGGATACTTGTTATGTATGTACTTTTATATATGTATGTTTTACTTCAATAAAAAAGTTTCCTTAACAAAACTCAGTATACTAACTCTGATCTAAAATTCTGAGTGTGCCACTTGCAACAACATGGGTGGAGCTACAGGGTATTGTGCTAAGTGAAATAAGTCAATCAGAGAAAGACAATTATCATATGATCCCTCATATGTGGAATTTAAGAAACAAAACAGAGCATCATAGGGGAAGAGAGGAAAAAATAAAAGATGAAATCAGAGAGGAAGACAAACTGTAAGAGACTCTTAATCATAGGAAGCAAACAGAGGGTTGCTGGAGGGTAGGTGGGTGGAGTGATGGGTAACTGGGTCATGGGCATTAAGGAGGACATGTGATGTAATGGGCACTGGGTATTATATGCAAAACTGAACTCTATCTCTGAAACTAATAATACTGTATGTTAATTAACTGAATTTAAATAAATGAATAAATGAATAAAACTCTGTGTGTGAATACTTTTTCTGGCCATAGGAAAATAAATTATTTAACTATTGGGTGAAAACAACAAAGAAAGTTTTTTCCTAAGTAAAAAAATCAAGCATTATATTATCAATATTTGTATTTTAGCTGTGAAGTGGGTCTTAAATTTGTCCCTTCAAATGTAGTCACAGAAATAAGAATGTTTGGACATTTCTGCTCTCTCCTGCACCCCCCCCCAATTTTTCAGCTACGACTGAGGTAATATTTCAAAATATGCATCCTATCAATCAGCTAATATTAGCAGTTAACAGTTACTGTGCCTGAACAACAGCTGTTAAAGGTTGGGATACCTACCATCCATGTAACTATGCAGCGCAGTTAGCATCGTCCCGTCTTGGGGCACATAGGCAGAATAAGCCATTTCTTCTAACATGGGTGGAGATAGCCTGGAGGGCGGGACTGCTGTGACTGGGGCAGAGGAGGAGTGATTAGGACTGACGTGTTTCTTATGGCGTGCTCGACAATTCTGAAACCACACCTGAGAGAGGAGAAAAGCAATGGAGGTACATCACATGTCAACTTCTGAGTACCTTATCAACTTAGCTTACAAAGAAATGTATCCTCAATTTCTCTACCATATAACCACGGTATAAATCTAAACAAGCTTTCTAAGCAGTTCTGTAGACAGAAGAGAAACATCTGCATAAATATCAATGGTCATTTTCTTTGCTCATATAATAACCATCTGGTGATTTACTTAAAAGCCAATTCTATACTACCCCAGCATCTTCCAAAATAAAAAGGGAGAGAAGAAGTTCAAGAATTCCAGAGAAGTTTCCTTGGCTTTCACTACTGGCATTTGGGACAAAAAGAAAAAAAAAAAAAAGCCCTTTAAATCAGAACTTAACAACAACAACAACAATAAAAAACCCAACTAAATGTATTCTTAGACACCTGCTGGACTTATTTCAAATCCCTTTCCAAATGACTAATATCCCCACTGAGAACTTAAAGCTTTCTACAAACCTCTTGATTCAATTATTCCAATCACATTTTAGCCTGCTGAGTTCAATTTCTCTTAGTGAATTCATAGACTATTCCCTAAGAAGTATGTTAAGGTCAGGCTTGTAATAAGAAAAAATGAGTAATATTTAAGCAGAATAAAATACAAACACATCCACTAGTGAAACAGTTCACAAAATGTAAAGTACTAATCATCCTGTTGTCTACTCTATCACAGAAATAAAGGAAACAAATCAAGGCAAGCATAGTTTTGCATCCAGGTCAGGATGAATGAATCTAGACTGCCCAGAATGCTCCCAGTAATTAATCTACCTGTGTTTTGACTCCCTGTTGTTAGATAAAACTTGACTATAGAGGGTTACTTTGTGAAAATATCATAGCACTTACTTTCTATCACTCCAAAGAAGTCTGTCATGAGGAGAAAGAGAAGTGAAGGTATAAAAAGTTTAAGGAGATAAAGATAACATTTTAGTGTCAGGGGAGAAGGCCAGGGAGAGATCAGGGGCAGAAATCTCTGCCCAAGGCTGGTAGGAAATTATTCGATGGCGCAAGGGAATCAGCGCTGAATAGTAGAACAGAAAGAAGCTGCAAAAAGTTTTATACAAAAAAGCTGACCTGATTTCAAAGACACGTCCTGCCCTGAGGACCCAAAAACAGAAGACTGACAAAGTACAAACTCTAGGGGTTAAAACTAAAGTAATTAAAAGTGATCATGTAAAAGGGTATGCAGCCCTGGGCAGATGGATGGAAGGTGACACCTGAGGAATGTTTCAGGAACAAGACATAGGCATATATCAAGGAAAAGGAGTGGGAAGTCACAGCCTTCTCTTCCATTTCTGGAATATTACACTCTTGGATACTTAGACAGAGACCGAACCCAAAGTGTTCAGTCACAGTTCTCTCCACAGGCTCCTTAATAATAGGCATCACTACTGTCACTCACCCAGTCAAGAAGATATACTCACATGTTCTCCAACTTGTAAAAGAGAACGACTGCCACCAGCATTTTCCCCAACAGTACCCAGAAGAGATGCACCCCAATGGGCCACATATAACCTAATGGACACGGCACTATGGTTCCCAGAGTTTCTCCAAAGTATCTTATGTTCCCAATAAATTATATCCTGAGTGGAACCTACTCAGTTGTTTAAAAAAAAATCCAGACTTTGGAAATAATATGAAAAAGGCATGACATATCAGCAGAAAAACTACCTTAATTCTGATTCAAATAGCTCCTTGGAAAGATCATCAACAGGTAATCAAGTAGAGAGAAGTTTATAAACACAAAATGTCATGTAACTTGCACAGAAAAATATAGTTGACAATTCCAGACCATCAGAAAATAAGTTCTGGCTTGGGGGTACCTCAACTTCAGAATTCAAATACAAGTCATTTTGATCCTCCTCACTGACTTAAAATTTCTTCTGTTTTGCAAACTTCCAAGAGTTAAAATTTCTTCTGAGCAACATATTTAAAAATTTTTTGAGTTCTAAATTGTATACTATGTAAGCTAAGAGCAGGCTATATGGACATTCTGAAAAAGAACAGACTAATCCATAAGATGGATCTCTGAAAAAGCCCAAGGAGCCAAATATCAGATTTTAATGTAGAAAAAAGATGGAAGTTTAAATTGTTGGAAGTTTAATTGTTGGAAAAATTTAAATCATTAATATTGATTTAGAGAAACTGGCTAATCATTTGTGAGGGGGAGAAAAAAGTGGTAAAATCCTTACCTTAATAATAACCAAATGTTTAATTATTTATTATTTAATTAATGCTAACTTAAAGATTAGATGTATGTAATTGGAACCATAAATATTTAAGGGAAACAACAGTCAATATCGATAAACCCTATAGGTGGAGAAGCCAAAGCTAAAAGAAAAAAATATTGAGAGATTTGAATACGTAAAAATATAAAACTTTTGGAGCTCCTGGGTGGCTCAGTCGCTTAAGCCTTTGACCCTTGCTTTTGGCTCAGGTCATGGTCTCAGGTTGTGAGACTAACCCCTACGTGGAGCCGCGCACTCAGGGAGAAGTCTGCTTGAGATTCTTTCCCCCTCCCTCTCCTTTCCCTCTGCTCTTTTCCTCCTCTCTCTTTAAACTTAAATAAATAAATAAACAAATGAAAAAGGAACTGTTGAACTATGGAGGTTTAACATGATAAATAGAATAAAAATCAGCAAGATGGAGAGAAAGGAACCACCCAATAGAAAAGTGGACTAAAAACATAAAATTTCTAAAATTACAAAATAAACAAACATGTTAAAGGTCATTGATAATCAAAGAAATATAAATAAAAACGATTTTCTACCAAAACTGGGAGGAATGTAAAAGAATGACTGTGTTCAGGATTTGCATGGGTTGGTGAAAGAGAACTTGCATATGTAGCTCCTGGCAGAATAAACTGGTATGAACTTCCTGGATAGTGATTTTTGTACTATCAGTTAGTCAGTTAAAGTCCTTAAACATGTTTTATCTTTTGACTCAACAACCCCACTTCTAGAAATTTATCATACGAAAACTAAGCAACAAGTGAGCAAGGTGTACATACAGTGATATTCATTACAGAATTTTTAGGATAATGAAAATCCGGAAACACACACACACACACACACACACACACACATAACATATATTTTTGCATGCTAGTACTCCTTCCTTTGCTATCCTATCTAAAATAGTTATTTCAATCCTCACATATTAAAAACCACCACCTAACAATATATTCTTCAAGTTCTAGTACTTGGAATCAAGATAACTTGCCCATGATACTGGTGAGCTAAATACTTGGAAATTCTGTGACATTGTCTGGGGGCCTTACTTCTTCAGATAATAAGAAAAGCTCTCAGAAAATCCTTCATTTTCTTTTATTTCCAATTTCAAAATAATCTAAAACATAATAGTCATGAATTGACTTAGCTGAAGTAGTCTTTGTCATTGAAAGTATAGACTCTTGGATTAGAAGGAACTTCAGCCCACTGAGTCTGTACTACCTCAACAAAGGAAGCTCCATTTCTAGGCTTGGAAACTCACTACCTCCAATGGCAGCCCATGTCATTTTTGTAGACTTTCATGCTGAGAAAATTCTTCATCATGAGTGAAATCTGCCTTTTCCTTCATTCCCCTGCAAAGACCTGATTCTGCTATCTGCAGGACAGCCTTCCACATATATTTAAAGATACTTTTTCTGTTTATACCATTCCTTCTCTTACTTTCTCATCTCCTGAGAAATATTCTTATTGCTGTTAATATTAGCATAGTATTTCTAATTCTTTCACGACTTTATTAACTTGTCTCTAAAGGAAGCAGTTTGTTTGGATTGCCAAATTAAAATTTGGTGTTCTGAAATAAACACAGTATCCTGAACATTTGAAAAGCACTGAGGTCTTATGACCTAACTCCTCAAAGAACCTCATTACACTGTAGTCAGCCCAATCTACTGGAATCTAAGTCTTTAGAGAAGCTGCAGCACCACCAGGTCTTTCCCAATCAGCTTCTTTGTGTAGATGATTTAACTACAAAATATTTCAGGCTTAATAATGAATTGAAGAATGAGCACCCTATTTAAAAATATCAGCCACCCAATTCAAGAAGTAAAACATATATACAATGTTGGATTTTACCTGCCCCCTACCACCTAAATTTCATCTTGCTGGTTATGGTTGCTTGCCTTAATTCTGTAAACAGTTTTGAACCCTGAATGTTATTTAAAATTATTTTCCATTTCCCTGACTTCTCTATAAGATCTTGACACAGTTGGCCAGCCCCACCTTGAACACATTCCTTTGGCCATGATGTTTTCTACCCTACTCATTCCTTAATCCCACCTGTTACTATGTCTCTTTCTAAAAGTATCACTTACCCTCCTCTCTCTAAAGTCCATTCTTCTTTTTTTACTGTCTATGATCTCATTCCAAAGGATCTTACCCAATTTCATGGCATTGGATCTTTTTGTATGAGTTCTGTTCATCTTTTAAAATATGTGTTTATAGGGGCGCCTGGGTGGCTCAGTGGGTTAAGGCCTCTGCCTTCGGCTCAGGTCATGATCCCAGAGTCCTGGGATCGAGCTCCACGTCAGGTTCTCTGCTCAGCGGGGAGCCTGCTTCCTCCTCTCTCTCTCTGCCTGCCTTTCTGCCTACTTGTGATCTCTGTCAAATAAATAAATAAAATCTTTAAAAAAAAATATGTGCTTATATGCCCAACTGTCCAAGACAGACCTAAAAGGAAATTCATCTCCCTCCCAATAACCAAATCACCTTTTTGACTTGAATATTCCTGTCAATAGCACTATTCCTATGGATACTCTGACTTCAAATTTAAGAGTCATCCTTCACTTCTCTCTCCCTCCCCATCATAGCGTCCAGGTCCTCTTCTTGTCTGTCTGCCACCAGCATGCACGCAATAAAATGTTTCTCAATGAATTTCAGGTCACTATCGCATTTAAATCTCTTCTAAAAAAATCACTCCTTTGCAGGGCATCCCAACAAATCTGTATCTCTAATCTAGCCTCTTTCAACCCTAATTCTTGCCATCTACTACCTAATTCTTGCCATCAGCTACCATGGCTTTCTCCTGCTCAAGACAGAACTCTATAGTCACATGTCCCTATAAGTTCAGCTCCAACAATTTCAACTCTCACAATTTGCAGATATAAAATTAACATTTCAATGAATTTGCTCTAATTCATCCTTCCCTAGCTTTGTTCACATGATTTCCTCTACCTGGATCTTTAGCAAAAGTGATCAAACCCCCCTACACACACACACACACACACACACACACACACACACACTCACTCACTCACTCATTCACATATACAATCACAGAAAAGTGGGAAAAAAAATTACTGGCTTCAGAACCAGATCTAGCTTGGAACCAAAGTTGTGTTTTTCAGCTTGAATGTCTTAGGGTTGCTCTGAGCACAGAATGAAGTAACTTGTACACAAAGTCATTTAACAATTGATAGCTCAGTTCAAACAGGCTAATTATCAGGTTTTAAAAAAAAATTGATATAGAGTGTAAAAGAGACCTAAATGGGAAGCTAATGCTTTGATATTTCTGCAAACACACACACAAACACACACACTGAACATTCATAACGACCTAGAATAGGTTGTTCAGTATCTCTTGATTAACCTTTAAAATAATCACCTGTATCACACGTCTGCTCAAGCCTGTCCTTTCTGCCAGTTTCTGAAGGGTCTGTGCATCTGGGTTGTTGTCCTGAGCAAATTGTGCTTGCATAACCTGTTTAAAAAAAAAAAAGTAGTAAATAGCTAAATATAAGAAACTCAATCTTCTACATTGATGACCAGAGAGATAAGACATGCATAAGAAAATAAGATACTTGTATTTTATTAGTTGAAAATAAAAATGGGTGAATACATATAAATGAAAAGAAAGCATATGCTGCAAATTTACAAACAAGTCACTACACTGAGATCTGTAAGAAAAAAATCCATTTCAACATAAAACTTGTCTCTCAACTATGCTGCTAAAAATGAGCTCACATTTGCTCTTCTTCCATTCTTCTATGCACAAATGAAATGAATAAATGGTATGTCCATTTACTATTTCTTCCATTTTGTTAAAAATTTTTTGTATTAGAAAACTTAAAAACACAAAAATCCTATCAAATTTTTCTCCAACAAAGCTAAATAGACCCAGATTATAATTTTTCTCAGTCAGCAAATAGTATGGATGGATTCCATTTAATTGCAATAACTCCAACATTAACTACAACATTTGCACTCGCTCTATGCAAAACAGTATCAGGGATCTTAAAAAAGGATATCAATCAGCCCACTGAATAAGAATTTCCTGGGATCTAAACATCTATGCACTGAAAAAGCTCTCAGGGGATATGATATGACCTTTGGATTAGAATCACTGTGCTAAGTGCCATGAAACAGTGATACGTCTGTGGTCTCAACTTTTTGAGACAAAGATGTGGACATGCCAATAACTACAATACAAGGTAAGGGGAGAAGTACAGAGTGTGAGGGAGTACCAGAATAAAGCTTAAGCCAAGGGTTTTGGATTCTTTCTGAAGAGGAAATCATGAGAATTAAGATGGATATTTGAATTTTATTACTTAAAAGTCAATCAACTGAGGGAAGTAGAATAATATATGAAGAAAGTATTACAAAAAATGGGAGAGCGGAGTCAGTCATCCAACATAATTGTACATGTCTATGCGTGTGCGATGGGGATAACCAATCTACCCAAAGACTTTAAGCTACCACCGGCCTCAACACCATTTTCCACAGGCAAAATTATTGCATTGTCCACATGCTTCTCATATGCTTCTGCCACTGCACATATCACAGCAGCTAAATAACTAATGGCAAGTCTAGCTCTCCTAAGCAAAGTAAGCTTCCTGAAGACAAAGGGAATGTCTTATTCTTCATATCCCTAGGAGCTAATACTCTTTCCTATCACATAGTATGTGCTTAAGGGTTTGTAACACAACGAACCTTGACAATTCGAGGAAAAGTTGAAGATAGTGTGGAGAAAAAGACCAATGTTGTTCCAGGAAATCTTATGAAGTTTATAAATTCTCTTTTTCAGTTAAGTTTTCTCTAATTAGTGACTTCTGGAATAAGGTATTCCTGCAGATCTCAACTCCAAAGTTTACCCTTAGAGAGAACTCCCCTGTCCCCCAGCAGCTAAAGCTTTTCTCTCTCCCCATATCAAACCACTGTCTTCAGAGAATTTCACATTATTTGAAGTTATTTTAACTGATCACATCATTAGATATCATTAAATTGTTGTTACATGAATGAGTTTAGCATAGGGATGCTATAGCATAGATCAGCTCCTGATCAACCAGGAGCTGACCTTCCTAAGCAAGTCTTGGCCCTGATATTTGATATCCATAAATCTGTGGGCAAATAACTTATCCTCTTGGTGAGTTTCCTCTGTTTCCCTATCTACACAATGAAGATACTCAGTGGCACCTACTTTATAAGGTTAAGATTAGATAAATGAACACATGCGCTAGAGAGGAACAGTGCTTATGTAGAACATCATATACACTGAGGAAAGTCAGTTCGTAATTTAAAGAGTTACATTTACATTTCTCACCATGATTAAAGCTGAAGAGCATTACAGTAACTACACAGGCTTAAGAAATGCTAAAGGTTTTAGGGGGAACCAGAACTCTCCATTAAAAAAAAAAAAAAGAAAAAAGGAAAAAAAGAATAAGGTATTCCTGGCTTCCTGTCCAACCATATTTGTTCACACACTTACTGTAAATAGCATGTGTATTTTTACTTTAAAAAATGGGCAGAACTGGCCTAAGAGTTTATAATTTCACTCAGTTCACCTCATTCTTCCTTTCTTATTCCAAATGCGTTACTTCAATATTGTCATGTACAAATAGTTGTGTTCCTATGTAGTTGAGCATGTAATATCCCAAAGAGAAAAAGAATGAGCAAATAATTGGTCTTTGTTTTTTTAATTTTTCAAGAGGAAAAGCTAAACAGATATTTCAGGATTTGCTTATTAGGCCATTATTGATAATTTATAAAACAAAAAAACCAGCATGCTTTTTCACAAATGTATTTCAAATTCACAAGTTTAATAATGAAACGAAGTTATGCTTAATAAAGCAATTTCTCATCAAGGAATAAAGCAAAACTTAAATGAATAGTGATGGTTTAGAATTGGTATATGCTAAGGGGAAAGTAAGACATGCTTATCAATGTTTAATCTCATACACACACACCAAAAGCTTTTTAATTTCTACTTAATTTCATTGTTCTCCAGTCACTAATGATGTTGAAACCCAACCCACTTCTTTTCTGAAGGCTTTTTAACATGATCAAGGAATGAGCCTTTGTAGACACTCATCATTTTAAGGCCAAGAATTCTCAGAAATGACAGGTATTTGCATAATAGCAGCTGACCAAGTCATTCTGAAAGTAGATTAATATAGGTGATAACCTTGGCATGTTTTATATTCATCATCATTGAGCAAGAGCTTCTAACTACAATAAACAAACCACAGTATTGGCAGGAACTTCTTAAATACCATTTCTACAAATGAGACAATATTTGAGATATTCTTGCCAACACAAAATGTTACTCTGTTGTGAGCCTTAAACTAATTTTTCTTCCCGTAAATTTCTAAATAATTTTGGCAAATTATCTTGTTTACTCTTCCCATGTTAACTCTCCTCTGTCTAAAGCAGTACTTTATGAATAGTTTTGACTTATTGATCACCTATAATATTTTATTATTTTGCTGAATTCAAGCACTACTTGAATATATTCAGTTTTCAGAAAGGATAATTTGACAATGAACGTACATTGTGTGATTTATTAGAGGTTCGAGCAAAATATAACGATTTAAGTTTTTTAAAAATTTACAGCTATGTTTTCCAGATTCTTAAGGTATAAGTAACCACTTGAGGACAAAGATTGTGTCTCATTTGTTTCAGCTGTCCCTGGCAAAAGACAGATACTAATAAATATTGAAAAAATGAGTATATGCTTTGAAGGCATATAACTTCTATTTTCGTTTTTTTATTTTCATTTTTTAAAACCTATGGTTCCAATATACATCTTTAAAAACTAATGATTCAGATCACATTTTCATATAATAATCGATATGATGATGCAAATAGCTTAGGTATGTTTGTAATTTAAAACTATAAAGCTATCCACAAGATTTGGAATCTCACTCTTGTTTTAGCTGCTGCTGCCATTAAGTGGAGCTTTTATTCCACTCATGGTCTGGTGGTCAAGAAAAATGAAAAGACCAGAGGATTGGGGAAGTTTCCAAATCTCTTCTCTGTCATTCCCTTGGCAGTCTGCCTTGAAGGGAGTTCCTGCACTTCTTGGATGAGGCTACCTACATCAAGGAATTATTGTTAAGAATTAAAGGAGAGAATGTAGATAAATGTCTGGCATAGGACTTGACACACAAAAACCTTCACAAATATTATTCTCTCTTTATTTCATTAGTACCTGTAATTATTTTCCTATGTGAAATTATATATCTACCTAAAGTTGTTTCAAGTTTTCACTATTATAATTTTAATGTTTAATTTCATATAACCTTTCATTGTCAGCCTTATAATTATTAAAATTATAGCCAGCCCTTCATGGAAACAGTCCATTGTAAAAACAATATATTTATGTTAGAAATTCTATTTTAACTCCGACATCTTTTAGCTACTGCATATTTTGCTGCCAGGTCTTCCACCAGTACTCATATCTCCCAATTTAGGGCTTTATGTGATCTAAGTTCCCTTGAAATATTTGTATCACATGAAGGATTCTTTCCTAACCACTCCCTAAATAAAAGTTCTCTCTTGAAACCCCTTTACTGTGTTCATCTTGAACACTGGCAAGTCTTAGATACCATATGTGACTTTCAGAATATTACTTTTACTCAATTGTTAATGTTGTATAAATATCCTTTAAAGTTTGAGCTAAGATATATCCTATGTGTAAAGCACCCAGTAGTGCATGGTAGGCACTCAAAAAATGTTACTTTACCTTACCATAAAACAAATACCTCATCCACATTACTGTTTTAGGAAACATGATTTGTTTATCTGAAAAAATTCCGAAAAGAATCATTATATGTGTAGACTTAAAGATAAAGTAAGGAGTAATTATTTAATTTTTTTTGAGAGTCGACATGAATTGATCTTATAACAATTATATTTAATTATTTTTTCGAGAGTTGACATGACTTGAACTTATAACAATTATAAACTGAAATAATCTCTCCTTTTTCAGGGGACATAATCAACCTTCAGCATCAAACTATAGAATTAGCTCCCTCTATCCCTTTTAAAAACAAGTAAAGATTTATTGGTTGTAGAGTCAATAACTAGATTCCTGTTGTAATTTTATTGTAAGGCATATTCAATTCTCTCCTATTCAGAACATTCTATAAACCTAGCCATTAAAAGGCTCATTGTAATTTGTTAAAAAGATGAACACATTAGTGTTTCATAGGCCCACATACTATATGTCTCTTTTTGTTAATAGTCTTAAAATATTTTGTCTTCTATCCCCATTATATGTAGTAACGTCAATAAATGCCTGGGCTAAACTGATTTTATCAGGAAGTCAGGACCGATCAATATTTTGTTTGTACTTTGACGTTAATGCCAATAAAACCCAGGGAAATAAAGCTTGAATGACTAGTTCATACCAGGTCGGGACTCTGGAAATATTGACAAACATTTTAGGGCTATAAATATGTTTTCATACATTCACCAAGTTAGTATTCATTAAAAGCACAGGCTGATCTTATTGAAAACATGAAAATGTTCTTAGGCAGCAGGAAACTGTTTTGGGCATTTTGGGGAGGGGGCAGGAGAACTGGGGGGGTTTTTGTTTATATGAAATTAAAGTTATTAAAATTATGTTTTTGTTGTTTGTTTGTTATGGTCAGGAGAGACTTCAAAAATCATAAATTCATTGTCATGTCTACCTGGAGCTGATCTGCTGTAAAGCTGGTCCGAGCTCTTTTTGCTGGTTTTGGATGATTAACATCTTGCTCTGTGAGGAGGGCGCCTTCAACACTAATCCCATTGCCTGCATTTAAAAAAATAGCATACATGTTAGTAACTCAAATGGGTCCACTGATCAAACAATAATATGTTTCTTGCATCTCTTGGCTTTGTGTGAAATTGTAGATTGTCCAAATCTGTCAGTTAAGTTTTAAAACACACTAAAATATTCTGTGGAAATAATATACAGGCTTGTATATTTACTGAAAAGCACAAAAAGTTAGGAGAACACACATTTAAGGTTCATGCTTAAAAGGCAAATACAGGAAAACAACTGGTTATGAAAGCAAAACAGCCTTAAATTCAAGGCTGCTGCCTGAGAATATGGTACAAGGCTAATACACATGCCATGTCTTTTCCTGCATATAAACACATGGAGATCATCACTAACAGGAGAATGCTTAATGAGTTTTACCACAATTACACTGAACAAAATAATACATTAAAATGACCTTAGGAAAAATCATTTTTATTCCCTGTATTCACTGTCCCAAAAGACTCCAAAGTATTTTAAGTATATATTTACCATTTTCCACTTCTCTTTTTAAATTATCCAGCATACAGTCATAATGCACTCTGCAGAGGACTTTCTCTTCCACCAAAGCAAACTCCTCTCCCGTGGAAAGCTGCCTTTTGCAAGAAAAGCAGGCAAAGCATGCCAAGTGATAGACATTCCCCTTGGCCCTCCGGACCCAGTCAGTAGAATGGATGTGCCTCCCACAACGAGAGCAGCGAGTTCCATACCTTCTACATAAATAGAAGAGCAGGAGGTGAAGATTTTACTATTTGGGGAGATATTCATCAGCCTGAGTAAACTAATACACTGTATTACTTATTGGATAAGTTTAAGTGTTTACATCTTTTGAAAATGAAACAGGAACCAGTTATTTTTCTTAAAGTCAATATGGTAAGCAATCAAGACTTGAGATAGGGCCATAGTTTAAATCTGTTTATAAAACAAAAGCTTCTCATTGTTACTTTAAAGGAAGACCGGATTTTTTTCTTTTAAAATAAATGTGCTATGAGTTTCAATATCTCGTTTGTAACAAATTATCAATGCATTTATAAATTACCTAGAGATTCAAGATACAAACACACATATACTCCAGACTGAAACCTAAAAGTGCAAAAACATACAATGAAAATATAAGGACTTCCTAAAACCAAATTGAGATAATTCAGAAAGGTTTTAAATATCATTTTTTAAGTTAAAATATTTAAACATTTAGAATCAACATTATCAAACAATGGGTAGAACAAACTGTTCACCCTGAGAGTGAGGAATGAAAACTCAGACATGTTTCCATTGGTGAATAAGCTACTGCACTGCTAGTCACAGGAAGGGGAGAAATACCTAAAACTTAGAGACTTACCTAGACATTAAATGCAGGTTAACTGTAACATAATACCAGATGTAACTATTTCTTTTTTCTCCTGGTCTGAGTAACTGGACATTCTTTGCTATGTCTCCTATCATAATCACAGTCATAGCCTTGCATATCCACATCAAACAAAAATATGTCTGTTTCTATTCATTAGCCTATCTTTAGAGGTATTGCCAGTTTTGTTTAAGTTAATCTGAAAAAGTGAATCCTAAAACTAAATTTCAGAATATAATATGAAATATTAAAAAATCCTGAAGAACGAGGCTTTCAATAACTTGCTGAAACTAAACCTTTCAAAAAGCTTTAAATTATCATGAAAAAATTAAGATTTGCATATCTTAAGTCAAAGAGGAGGTAAAATTGCTACGATTTGAGGAAATGGAGAGTAAACCTGATGAGAAATATATGTTTTTGGTAATTATAAAATTCTTTGACTTTATAAAATAAAGCATCTGGGTTTTATGAAGTGTTTTTAATTAGCAATTTTATTCAGTCACTAAACTCTCTGAAACCAGTTTTTGAAACTGAGTATAAACATAATTAGTATTACAAACTTCATTATATAGCATTAATTTCCCAATTTCACGATGAACAGTTTTCATTTGGAAATTCAAATAAAGAAAAAAATATATGGTAATTTTAAAAAGTCATGCTTAGGAATAGTTTCAATTTCTAGACAGCTATCCATTAAGAACTGAATTATATCCTACAAGAAACTGTGCATTTAAATAATTTATAAAGAGATCATAGAAAAAAATGTTACATTTAATATCTTAGGCAAATACAATCTCAAAAAACAAAGATCAAAGAACAGATAAAAAGAAACAGGATTTTTAGACAGAATAATCAGACTTGGTATATTTCTGATACCGAAATCCTCTAAATTATAGGTTTATCACAGTCTCCAAACTGCTGTTATTTTAAAGGTATAACTGGGATCATTCTCGTAAACTGGTAAACACTTAACAAAACCTTGATTTTTTCCCAACCATAATTATTTCATTTCACCTTAGCATCACCTGCAAATCACGGACTTTGTCACAATAAGTCATCTTACATTTTATACTTTACCTATGCACAGCAAGGAGAAGTTTCCCTGTTTTTAATATCTAAACCTTTCATTCCCAAAGAGGAAATAATTATTTTAAATTAGTTTTTGTATACAGAATTCCTAAAACACACAAACATTATTTTTTATTTGTTTTGAGAGAAGTTAGACCTCAAAAATGTGAGGTCTTCTTCTCATTTTGAAATCCATTATATAAGAAAAACTGGTTTCGATACATAAACCTGGACAAGAAAGCTTGTTTACAAAACTCTCTTTTTGTATTATCTTAAAGTGTCTACTAAAAAAATGTTTCATAGTATACCTGAAATAATCAAGTTTGCAGAAAATGTCTTTGTCTTTAATATAACAGCTGGTATGCCTTCCTAAGGAGGTCCTGCAGACACTGCATGAGAGACACCGAACATGCCAGCACAGGTCATTCACCTGTAAAGGAAAAAGGGGAAGGGTAAGAAACAATTTTAATACCACACTCACAGTATCATTCATTGGTTTTGTGCAGTAAGCAATTTTAAAAACTGACTTCTTGATATTTTAACATATGTTCTTCAATGTTTCTACCTAAAAGGTGTCATTTAAACAAACATGTGTCTAAATGTATTCTCTTTCAGACCCCAGCCAGAAAAATCACAATAACATATTTTATACTGTGTGTTAAATTCTTTATTCCTTTGAAGAATTCAGGGCATGTGCTTTTTTTTTTTTTTTTTTTTTTTTTTTTCCTTATTGAAGTCGAACTTCTATGAACATGGAAAATTTGGGTCACTTTAAAGTCCTACATACAGGCTTGTTTTATTTTTTCTTTCACCAAATTCTTCCCACCAGGAAACCTGATAGCAAAAGAAGTCAAGCCACACGACATCTCAATCTATTTTTTGGCCAAACAATTATATTCGGTGCAGTAGTTGAAGTGAGAGAGAAAGAAAATTAAAAAAGAAGCTTTGTAAGATACTTACCCTTATAAAGAAGGCAGGCAACACTTCCCTTAACAAAGAGAAATTGCTAAGGTAGATTTAAATGTTGATATGGCAGAAATCCTGGATACCTTCTAACATTAAATAATAAACTCAAGGAATGAATTATTGGAACCCTAACTAATGATTTGGCTACTGGAGAAAAAAATTAATCTGATGATAAGTGGTTCTAAAAAGGCACCAAATATTGTTTGCCATTTATACTTCAAGGAGTAAGGCATAACATAGTGTCTAATAAATCATACCACTTTATATTTTCTAAATAAGCACATGAAATATTGTCAATTCAGGAAACAAATCATAATAACCCGCACCTCAAACTGTTGCTGTCATATTATAAGCACCACAACTTCAGCCCTCAAGAATGAAGATGTATATATATTAGATAGAACTTGCTTATAACAGAGGCTTCCAACATTTGCTCTTGTTAAATGGACACAAGAATTGAGTTTATGTTTAACCAATTAACTATAATTTCATTTCATGTAAAAGAACAGCAATGATGCAAAAACACTAGTTACACCCTACAAATGGATCTAATATCTTAAATAGTAATTAGGAAATTGTGAAATAATCTTTATTATAAAATAGTGTAGCAAAAATCCTCTGTCCAATGATTCTATTAGATTAGCACTACTGTTCAAAAATTTTTTTCCAAAATGTTTGTGATACAAAATATAAAAGGTCCTTTGAAGCTGAAGGAAAAGTTTCACTTGCTTCTAATTGTAGTTATAGGCCTCTTTCCAAAGCATTAATGAAGAGTAACATTTTGGTGAAATTTTTTTAAATATTAAGTTTTGGTCTGGGATTACATGCTTACTACATAAGAAAACTTGGAATATACAAACAAGCAAACAGAGGAAGTCAGAATTAAAAAATATTAACAATGGTTAATACTATCCTAGAAATAAATATGTATTTTCCTTGTATTCTTTCCTAACACGGGACAATTAAAGTTTAAAAATACAGGCTTCCTTTAGCACTCCAATGCTTAGGGACGTCTACGTTTTGATCTTATCCAGGCTCTTTTTTCTCCCCATCTCCCCAAGCAAGTGTAGATTCAGGCTACAGAGCAGAGTCATGGCTATCTTCTAACTCCCTAATGCCAAACCGAATGCCTGGTTTACCACCTTTCTTTAAAGTTTATTTAAAAAAGAAAAAAAATGTTCATTTTCCATTTCTTTTCCAGGGAGGAAAGTAAGGTAAAGAGAGAAAAATCTAGAGAATATCAAACTTTCCTGATGGCGGTTATTGATCCAATCTATATATGTATATGAGACCAAGCCCAAAAAACCATCCAAACAACAGGGCACTAAAACATTAGAGGAGGCAAAAGATACATCTAATTCCTCTCCTACTTTTTTGTTTTAACTCCATTTTACTCGCCCATGAAATGATGTTTTTCTATATTAAGTGGTTTCTATATTTTCCATAGAAAACAGTTGTACCCTCAAATACTCTACTAAGTCTAGCAATTATTTTTCACCAGTGACTCAAATTGAATATAAACTACTCTTTTAGAATAAATACCCAAATTTAAAAAAAAGAACTCAGAGTTTTTATATAACCATATAATGTCAAACTTTCGTTAGAACTAAGATACTAATAGGTACAAAAAGGGATAGAATAAGTCTGTACATAGAAGACTTCACTGGGAGGACAACAGTCCTACAACAAAAAGCTTTATGTAAGATATTTAGATAACTTAGGTATTTTATATAACACAAGTAAATATAATAAACAAATGTATTTTTAACATATAAAAGTGAATATTAGCAACTATATCTATTTCAGAGGTGTGTTAAGAGTCACTTTATAATGCCCTTTTTTCCTAAATCCTCTCTGGTATGAAGTATTAAAGCCTTTATAGACCCATTCAGAAACACTCTTAAATATTATGTTTATTATTGAGAGGGCTCATTGAAAATGACAAACTAGCTTTGGTCCAAAAGATGATTTTGAGATATCTAAAAAGGCTCAGGTCTAGAAACAGTGAAAAGAGTATCTTAATCTAGATTTAAAGGGAGAGCCATGTTAATTTGCCAGCTTTAAGACTCAATCCCCAATTAAACTTAATTTAATTTCAATTTTTCACCAAAACTTATTTTGGTGATTTATCTGGGTTGTATCTATAACTTATTATTCCCACCTTACATTTTAAATAGCTTTCTACATTGAGGTAGAAATTTAAAGAAACCCAGTAACTTGCTTTTTGAACTCCTACTCTCCATAATTAATCCTTCTGAAAAAAATGGGGGAAGGGGGTGGAGGGAGATTGATGAGGAAGGAATAGAAAGTGAACTGGTTTGCTACTAATTCAGTGTATGAGAGATCATTATTTTAAATAGTGGTTTTAAAGAGCTGTTGAAGTTGAAAAACCCATGGTATTAGAATTAAGACACATGGGACCATGACCCTGCACTCATTGATATAGTTAACTGTGGCCTGCCAGAATTTCTACTTCCAAATTCCTGCACAATATTTTGAGAGAAGTGAAACAAATTAAGACCACCAAATTCTCAAACTTCATCCCAGGCATTCATCTATCCATCTAGCTTTCTTTTTGTTTCCCTTCCTGCCTTCTTTCTCTCCTGCCTGCATTCTTTCTTTTTTGGGGGGGGCGGGTTGGGGGGTTGGAGGGTGTCTAACCATCCATTTCCTTTTTTTTTTTTTTTCTTACAAGCACTGGAGGGGACATTAAAAAAGCATTGGGTGGCCTCCAGATACTAATAACAGGAAGGAGGTACTGAAAATGGTTTTTATGTAAATGCTCCTACAATCTTTTACTTTGAAAAAGTCTCAAGCGACTGCTATTAAACATAAAACTATGTAAAGACTCTGTCCAGAAAAGACATTTTACCACGGTCCTTACCAAAGGAGACACTGCAAAGGGGAATCATCCAACATATACTAACCAGAAACTCTTAGAAGCAGGCAGGTGTAGGGGTGTTGTTCGGGGTGGAGGGACAACCCAGTCTCGGTAAAAATAATCAGGCAGGACACTGTTTCAAAAGTGAGTAAAAGGATTACCCACTTTTGCTCCCCTACAAGTCGGTGGCTGACGCTAATACAACCACCCCGGGGTATCGGCACTTCTAGAGCACAACGTGTCATATGCATAAGCTGTTTTGCAACAATGTGGGAGAGTCTAGGATTTCTTCTCCCGCTCTTTCGACTTGCCCTGGACTGGGCTACTTTGCTGAGAAAGCCTACAACCTGTACGAGAACTTGAAATTGGAAAAGAAGGGAAAAAACTTTTCTCTTTTCCCAGAGTTCCCGCTCCCCTTGGGCCTCACGGCTCCCCCTACCTTGAGAAGGTACTTGTCCACGATCTCCAGGCCGCAGCTGTTGCACACACACTTGCCAGGGGGGCAGACAGAGCCCGAGGCCATGGACCGGGGCGAAGACGACGGAGACAGCGGGGCCGAGGAGGAGCAGGAGTCCTCGTCCCCCGCTCCCTCGGGGCTCACCTGAAAGAAGCCCGGAGGCACAGTCGCCGGCGGTTCTAGACCCCTCCTCCTCTCCTCATCCCACGGAACTCCCGGAGCTCCCCCACCCTACCCCTCCTTTTTCCCGGGCCACCCTCAGTTTGTGAATTCTCGCTCCCCGGTCTCTCCCCACAAGCTCCTGCCACGCACCCGCTGGGGCTATCGACCCCTGACCTCAAGGACCCAGGGAGCCTTACAGCCCTGCGCCGCCCGTCGCGCCGGTTCAGCTTTCCACCCCGCCCTGCCTCAGGCCCTCCTTCCACCCGCTCCCCAAGGGGCCAGCTGGGCCCTGGAAGGAGCGCGGGAATAGCGGCCCTTAATTCTGGGCCGCCTCCACACGTCTAGTCTTGCCAACAGCCTTGTCCCTCCCCACTCACCAGTCCCTCTTCCCCGGCGCCTTTCCGAGTCCTCCCGGCCGCCAGGGCTGCAACCCTCCCGCACTCCTCCGACATGAGCCCCGGGCACTGCGGGGTGGGAGGAGGGGGAAATGGGGAAAAACGGAGAGCAGAAGTTCAGAGCCGGCAGACTCAGCCCAGAGCCGGGGCTTCTGGCACGCGGAGTGGGCTAATGAAGGCCCCCAGCGCTCCGGGCCGCGCGTGCACCATCAGGGCTCCAGGAACCCAGCGCGCGGGTAAACCCGCGGGAGCGCAGCCTCTCTTGTCAGACGTGGGGCGCCGTGGCGTTGGCCGAGCGCGCGGCAAGGCTGCCACCGCAGCGCTGAGGGCTCCCCCGGCGCGCTCCGGCGCTCTCGGGGCCGCAGGTCCCTAGCGCTCACCGGAGCAAGTCGGTTCCCCGCCCCCCTGCCGGGGGTAACAAGTTAATAACAATCATCCCAGCACAAAGCATTTTCTTTCTAGACGTCAATCACGGCGGAGCGGGGATCACCAGGCTAAAGCGGGTGCAACGGGCGGGGGTGGGGGGGGGGGAGAGGGGGAGAGAAGAAAAGGGGATTGGGGGGGGGGGGGGGGAAGAAACTTGATTTCTTTAATAACCTCAATTAAAAGAGCAAGACACATATATATTTTTAAAAGGGTGCTTTTTGAATTGGATAGCCCGAAAGGTGAAGAGGTTTAATAGGATACTTGAAAGCTAATTACAGCGGGATTTAAGAAGCCTGGTGTTTGTTCCGATGACAATTTGAATGAAAATGCTTCAGATTACACCAAGCCACCAGCTCTTTCGTAAACTTACAGCCATTAGAGCTGCGAGTGATTTACACTCGTTTCTTTAAGGTGTAAATTGCCACTTATTGCTCAGTAAGTCAACATTTGAGCTACTAAAGGATTATTTTTAACCAGCGCAAAAAGCGGGACGAATAATGGAAAATATCCAGCTGAATTTAATTTGTGCCATTAAAACTCACCCAACCTCGGTCAAAATGTTTTAAAGCAACAGCGCGCATTACTCAAGTGTTTCCAAGCCTTTGCTGGAGTTTTGTTCTTAAACGAAAACGCAGCCTCTGCAGGCTTTTTCTGCCTTCGTTCAGGAAAACTCCAGTTTGGGGGGAGGGGATGCCGAACTCAAGCGACCCACACCTGCGTTTCCGACTTTTCACCTCCCTCCTTCCGGCTGCGCCAGGCAAGATATCGTCCAAACCCGAGAGCACCCCGCTCCCTGCCGAGCCCTCAGTGGGGACCCTCGGGTGCGCTCCCTAGTGCGGACCCAGCGCCGCCGCTCAGAGGCCGCCTTCTCTCAGACACAAAGCAAGTTTAAGCAGAGAAGTCCCGCGTTCGCTGGGTATTCCCCGCCAGAGTCCGACAAAGTCAGCGGTTCCCAAGGCGGGGCCCTCTGAGGAGCTCAAACAGGCTGCAGATGATTTTCAAACTTAAAACGCGAGACACCAACGGGCCTCCAGAGTGAGGTGAGCGCTTGTCAGTTTTCCCCATCTACTCTACGAAGGGTGTGACTCACTGGTCCTGGGTTTTGCCTTTTGCGGGGGCGGGTATTTTAAGTAAAATCTCGCGCCCTGGGATCCCCCAAGGCCTTCCAGGAGCCACGACTCTATTTTCGTCGTGGGCCCGCGGCGCGGCGGGTCGTCCAGCCGCGAGCCTATGCGCTGGCAAACGCCCGCGGGCGGCTGGACGCAAGGAGCCAAGCCTCTGATCCCACCCCGAGAGCCGCCCGGACCTCCCGACTCGCTCTTCCCACCGCCACGATCACCACGGCAAATAGAACAAAAGCACGACTCACATGTACCCGAGAACGCCTTAGGCTTGAGGCTTCGTCTCCCAAATTACAGTCTCCATGCCTCAGGTTAAGTGAGCTTGTGGGGAGGGGAGGCAATGATTACTGACTAACGCTACTACGTAATAAAAAAAAAAAAAAAAAAAAAAAGCCAAGTCTGAAGATGAGGCCGTTACAGGTAATTTCTGAACCTCGTTTAGGAGCCCAAACAGCTCGCGTTTCAAGGGAACTGCAATTCAGCTGGTCTGGCCAGGCGTCCGCTCGCTCACCTTCTCAGTGGGAACTGCCAGCTCCGGCACGTCCTTTTCTTCTAGTTTACACACAAACATCTGATCGCTTTTCCAATACATGGCACTGCTAGGGCTGCTTATCACATACCAACTCCAGAGGGTCAGCGGCCGTCCGTGTCTGCCGATCTTCCCCCCTCCCCCACCCCAAAGCACTAATAAAAGCTGACACCGAGAAGAGCAGGAATACTACAAGCAAGTCTTCGTCCAAAGAGGCCGCTGTGGCCGTTACCACTTGGTGGACTGTTCTTAAGATTCTTATCCCAACTTCACTGAGGTCTGTCCCTCCAGGAAAAGAAAAAAAAAAAAAGTTTTGTTTTCCAGAGGGTGGAACCTTACATAAAGGGAGGGAAGGGGGTGTGTGTAAGCGGGGGGAGTCTTCTCCTGGAGGAATAGCCTCACCTCCTTAAGGAAAACCCGCCTTCTGTACATGTTAAGATCTTTATCAGGGCAAGCCAACTTACTCCAGATTTAGTATTAAGGGGGGGGGGAACAACACTGGGAATGGCCTGTTAACTTTTGACTTAAAAAAAAAAAAATCTGCTCTCTGCATTTGCCCTGGCTTTTTAATTCTCACTCCCCAACCAAAACCTAAACAAAGATTCAGGTTACATCTCTTTCTGCAGCAAGCAGAAGGGGAAGCGGAGGTCTGAGTGACTTAAACTTTTTAGTCATTCTCCTGAAACACGCAGCTCTCCTGTCTAGCTGGGAACTCGACCGCTCCCTGGCAGCCTCGGGGCTGACTTATCTAGCGGTTCGCGCTCCCTTTGCGAAAAGTTTTCTCATTAAGATAAAGAAGGAACATCTGAGCAGCACAAAAGCTTATGATTTGCGACTAGATTTGAAATCAAGGCTACAAGAAAGACAAAAGTATGTTGCTAATAGTATTGCTCTTTCATCTCGTCCTAGACAAAATTTAAGCCCTAGAAGGGACCAGTTCCTGCCTCAAATGTTGGCTGTGGGTTTGTGGAGGGGGGCGGTGTTCGCAGAATACCTAATTTTGATTAGGATTGAAGGGTATGTTTGCTAAAGAAGCTTCTTGGTTGTGCGAATTTTACTTCATTATTTAGTGTGTAAAGTGGAATTTAGTTAGAGACCATTTAACAATATTTTATTTCCAATTCTCTCTTTTTTTTTTTTTTAAGAAACGAAACAAAGCAAAACGTAACTTAAGAATACTTGGAAGTCTCTGTTTCCTAAAGGCCTTTAGTAAAACCATGTGATGTTGCTCCAGTTAGATGGATATATGTATCTGTGTATCTATTTATCTATCTATAATCTTAGATATTCTTATCTCCTTGCCTCGTTTGTCTAGAAGAGTAAGATCGCCTCTCGCACAGACACCTCAATAGCAGAACAGAGTAGGGGCAGTAGGGAGAGCTAGGTAGCCTTTCCTGTAATGAAGTGAGACTATATAACCCAGGACCGAGCAAGGACTGCAAATTTAGTTTTCCCTCAAGTACATTTTTCTCTCATAAACACGAGGGTCCCAGAGCATTTTCCTATTGCCATTGTGTTCCTTTTCGTTAAGCTGCGGACACGTTAATATTAGCCATCCCCCTTCCGGTCCTTTCTGGGAGATCTCTCTTAAATTTATGAATTGTGAGGTAGAGGACGCTGGGATCTGTGCCCTCTTACAGAACTGAAGGCTTGGGGCGGACCTACTTCTCCTCAAAAAGCTAACCTGTGCGTGGAGAACAGAAAGTCTTGAGTTTTTCATCAAGTGCAAAAATTAGTATTTGGGGGGAAATCCACATAATGCATTTTCCATGAAATAGCGTCGGCCTCGAGATGGCTCTTCCGAATGGAAAGAGTCGTCAGAACATTGGCTCTATCAGGGTGTTCGTAGAGAGCAAAATTGAAAGTGGAATTAAAAATAAAGACCCAGTTCAGATTTAGTTACTATTCATTAGGGTCTGCAAAATGAATCTGGGGTACTGCTTGGCTACTCTCCGGGAGAATTAATCGCTTCGGTCATTTGGAGATCCGGAGAGCGCTGGAGCTGTTTGGGGGAAGTAGGGCGGGGGCGCGGGCGTTTGTGCGGTCGTTTCACCCACCCTCGCCTAATCAGTCGGCTCGGCTCTCAATCAGGTTTTCAAAATACTAATCTTGATCTAAGAGCCCCTATCTCTACATCAGTGGAGGAAATGATCATTTTTAGAGGCTTCTGGGCATGGGGAAGAAGAATGGTCTTCAGATCGCAGAAGACCTGAAAGACTGATCTGGCGTTCGCTTTACTGCGGACGCACTGCAGGACGAGGACCTTTTCCCGGGGTGTGATTGTGTGCACACAGCCTTGCTCTGTAGGCCTCCCGGCGGCGGTGAGTCTGTTTCTGTGTCCTGAGCATTGTAAACCTTTGGCCAGCGGTTGTATGTGGAGGTGGGAGGAGGGGGTGGTATGCAAGTATTTGCTGTGAATGTCGGGGCTGAGCGTCCTGTTGGTGATGGGCCCAAGGACCTCCTGACCCTTTGTCAGGGGTGAACATACGCTGGGGTTGCTCCTGAACCGGGCCCGGCTTCTTGGAGCTCGCGTCACACCTCTTAACCACGCTCCTCCTCCGCTAGGGCAAGGGAAAAAGTTCGCCCGCTGCTTCTCAGAGTTGGGTTCCTGTGCTAAAATTAAGGGCTCTTTTTGTCTTTCTAATAAGGGTTTTGAGCCCAAACTCCAATTGAAACCAATTTTGGTCGAAGCAGGACATACCAAAAAACATCATCTTGTGTTTCTGCAGGTGGGAGAGGAATCACCCGCGTTGGGTCGATTCCTACCTACTAACTTAAAATTTCTAGATGGCTACCTCCACTGAAATAAATCAGAGACCGCAAGCCCACCCAGGGCACTAACCAACACCCCTGGACTGCAAAGGGTCTTTGCAAGGCACAAGGAATAAACCCAGAAGTCTTGGGAGGACGCCCTGGCAAGTTGGGAGGCGCTGGGTGTGTCTCCCTAAAGTCCGAGGGGTTAGGGAAGGGGTCTGGTCCCCTGGGGTCAGGCCTTGATTGGAGGTCAGGGGATGGAAAGCGGAAACACCAACCCGCTCTCACCCCTACAGATTCCACTCACCTCGAAGAGCTGCCTAATTGGGCTGTGAGCAGCTGCGAAATTTGTAATCGCCTAATAAGCCTTCCACCTCGGTAATTCTTATCAAAAGGCATAAAACTGATATTTTCACACTTGGCTTCCTCCACAGGAGCCGTTTATAAACATCCTTCATCAGTAGGATGAAATTAAGCCTGCATTGACAAAGGTCTCTGGAACTCGATATTTAAAAGCAATAGATCCGAATTAGCAAATTACTACTTTAAGTAGGGGAAGTCCCCACTAACTTGACTATTGAACCCTTTGCCTCTGAGCTTCTCGCCGTGAGTAACCACATGTTTGAGGGAACTTAACCTGGAGTTTACGCGTTACTCAAGCAACCTCCGGAATCTCGCTTCCTGAATCCCCGCGCGCCCTGGCTCCCAGCCCTTCCGCCAGCCTTCGAGGACCCACTCGGGTCAGAGCTGTGGAGACCTGGGCGAGACTGCTGGGGGCCTGGGCGGAAACGCGGTTACACCAGACGCTCCCAGGACTCCCGGGCCTCAGGCATAGGGCCAGCGCCAGCCATGGCACCTCTACGCTTTTCCCCGCTCCCGCGACCCTGCGCCGGGGGCCAGCCCGGAGCCCTGCGGGAGATTGAGGCATGGGAGACCTCCGCGCGGATAAGAAAGCGCAGCTTCTCTCTGATTCTTGTGGCGACCTCTTCATGCATGAAGGTAAAAACTCAGCCAAGAGAGCCCTGAAACTGCGAAGGTCACACTTGTTTTAGGGTTAGGAGTGTGTCCTTTGATTTTTGCCCACCCCGTCTAACCATTATTAACACATATTTGGAAAGAGACTGAAGGAGATAACTTCCAAAGACCTTCTCCCACCAACTTGCGCAGCTCAGAACCCACGTCACCCCTCAGAGATCGCGCAGCCGGACGCGCGCTCACCTTGGGACTTACCGGTCCCAGGCTCCTTCTCAGTTTCTGAGGGAAAAGGAAGGGCGTGTTTATTCACGGCAGTGGAGGACGCCCAAAGGTGGAGAGGGCCTCCGTCCGGGACCTTCTGGTGTTTGCCCCACTGCGGGCCGAGCCGAGGTTCACTAAACTTGCCGGCGAGGCTACCGTGCTCCGCGTGGGACAGCCGGGTACGCACTGGCGCGCCGGCCGCGCCTGGACCACCGGGCCGCGCCGGGCGTCTGTTGCGCTCGCTGCAGTCTTGCGCGCCTATTGGGGCCAGCGGTCTCCCGCGGTTCTAGAGACCCAACTACCGAAAACCACGTTCTGCGCCCCAGAGGGCTGTACGTGTGGATTCGGTGTCTCTCTTCAGCGGGTGCCCTTGTTCCCCCACAACGCGAGTAAACTTGCCCAGTCCTCTGAGGAAGGAGAGAGGGTAAGCGTTTCTCGCCTGATAAGACGGGTAACAGGAGTGATGGAATTGGGAGCTCTTTGGAGCCTAAAATTAGTCAAGACGCAGTCTGGGACGCTCTGGACCAAATGCTACTGGGCAAAGCGCGAAAGTCCACTACACTATTTACCCACTGTAACATTTCCAAGCCCACAATCTTCGCCTTAAGCACACTTGTGGTTTAGAGCTGCTAATTTTATAGGCATTTTATCGTTCAGAATAAGCAGCGCGGCAGGACCAGGGGAAACCTGATTCTAACCTGTTTCTGCAGACCTCGGCCCACACAACTCTGTAAAAAACCGAGCTAGGAGGTTGGCGGCGAGGCATCTAACCCCCAATTCCCCCGCCCTGGGTTTTCCTACAAGTCCTAGTAGGCTCTCAGGGAGGATCTAGAGGGGAGCTCACGAATCTAGAAGGACAACGGAAACCCTAGCCCCGCGGATACCCTCCTCCTCCACTCTCCTCTTCCCCTTCGATCCCTGAGCGGCGCACTAAAACCCGGCCAGGGAGCCAAGAAAGCCAAAGTTGATCTGAATGTAAAAAATGGGCGCCTGAGAGTGTCGGGTGGAGTGGGGAGGGGTGGTGGTGGCTGCGGGGAGCTGTGTGAGCCTCCTATTCGCAGCCTTCAATCCGGTTTTGATAAGGCAACACAGGGCTCCGGTTATTAGCCGACCTTAGTGTACCGCAAGCAAACTCGGGTCGTCCTGCCCACAATCTTTGGCAACATCTACCCGGCAACACTGATACATCCCGTCGTTGCTTTACCTATGGATCCTATAAAATGATGCTTTTTAAAAAATCTTCGGAATAATCTTGAAACTTTAAAAAAGTTAACTAATTTTTTAAATGGTTTCTACTTCAGGAGACTGGTTTTGTAACTTTGGCAGTGTTTTCTCCTTTCCTCCCTGTCCTTTCCTCTCCCTCCCTCCTTTCCTTTTTCCCTACTAGCTTGACTGCCCGCCTGCCTTCATGGGAACTCAAGGTTTAAGAAGCTAGGCAATGTGCTATTAGAGTAAGATTATGAGATTTGAAATTAGTCAAACCTGTAATGGATTTCAGAGCAATTTAACAACTTAACACCTCAGTTTTCTCATCCAGAAAATGGAGATGACAGCACTAATGTTGAAAAGTGTTCACTGATGCGCAGTAGATTCTCAATCTCATGCTCTTCCTGAGCCCTTCTTTTGCTGTGCTAAGAGAGATCTAGATTCAGAGGCATCAACAAAGGTCTTACTCCCCAGGTGACAGGGGACAGGCCAGTGCTCC